GAATTCGCTACATCAGAATTGAAACTCGCGTGTTCGAAACCAGATCGAATATTTACATATCAAGTTGCTCCAAGCATCATGATTCAAGGGAAATGCCTCCAGGGCATGCTTACTTCCACTTAGCGGCCGGAGTTTCCTGGAAAGCCTTCAGTTTAGCAACCACCTTCTCCAGAGCAGCGATCTCCTTGGCCAACTTGGCATTAACCTTCGGCTGGTCCTGGCCGAGCTTCTCATAGAAGACCTTTCGGTATGGGGTCGCAGACATAGCAGCGCTGAAGATGGGTTTGATGACCCAAGAGTGGTGGGGCTTGAGGGTCTCGCCGTAGGCGCCGCGGAAGGAGTCAGAGAGCTCTGAGGCGGAGTTGTCGATGTTGTGACGGAGGGCTTGGGCAGTGAAGTCGAGGCCGCTGTTGAGGCCAGTTAGTCAATTATCAATTCGGATATGCGATACGCAACATGCGCTTCCTGCATCTTGCGTCGCAATACTCCGTGTAAACTTACCGGACCAGCCAGACGAGACCCTCGGTTGCAGTGTGCTTGCCGGTCTTCAATTCGTTCACGACAAGGGCCTGCAATGTCTCGGACTCGGTAGGAGCGGCCAATTGGCGCTTACGGACTTTCTAAACAAGGGTTAGAAGGTGTTAACACTAGCTGGAATGGATTGGACCAACCTCAATGTTGCCAAGCAGGTCATTCTTGACGGGTGTGAAAGCAGCAGAACCGAGGACATCTGGAGAGGTTCCTGCATTAGTTTGAGGAGCTTCATGCAGTGGCACAGCACTCACCAAAGAGAGTCACAAGGGACTCGGCAGCTTCGAGGAACTCGGTGGTCGAGATGCCATCCTCCGCAAGGATAGGGACGTCCGCGAAGGACTTCTTGATGGTGTCAAACCATGTCTGATCAGCGGGAATAGCGGCCATTTTAACAAAGGAATTGAAACAAAAGCTAAGAGAATCAAGAAAATGAACAATCAGGAGACGTCTTCACCGCTGGTGACACGCAAGCCAATGCCAGGTGGGGGAAACGGGGCGGTGAAGTGTCATTGTTGTGTTTGTCCTGTTTGCAGGATCTGCCAAGCTCTCCATCGCGACGTCATCGCTACGAGTTGCATTTCGATCCGATCGCACTATGCACCTAAGCTCAAAGGTTGTTCCTGGGTGATTGATCTGCGTTGCCTGCCCTTATGCTTTCATTACCCTTGCACATATCTCCCGCGCTTTTGGCCAACGCGGGTAAGAGATTGCCATGAGCACTCCACCGGACCAGGCCGACGGGTCGCAAGGAGCTGACCCACGCTCGCTCACCCATGAACATTATCATGGCTTGCAGACTGGGTCCTATACAGATCAGCAGCTGGTATGTATATATCTGATGGGAATGGAATCATGACCTAACATGCTGTTCGTGGATAGCGCCATGCCTCTGCCAACCATCTGCATATGACCAACCGTCGGTTTTTCGTCGGACCAATCCCAGAAGGCTGGCTCCAGGGCCATCGCAAGTCATGGTACAAGTCTCGACTGAGGCTTAGAAACTATACTTCACAAGCCATTTCGTTCTCTGCAGGTCCGGTTGCGACCCATTACAGCGAACAGGACCCCCAGGCCGAGCCAGCGTTACCTGATCTGGACGAAGAAGTGGCTCTGACACTTACAAATACAACTGATGTGGCTGTAGCGGAGCAAACAGATGAGATTGAAGCCGAAGAAGCCACATCTGAGCCCGAGGGGGAACTTCGGACCCTCACTCACCCCACGGCTGAAACCAGCGGCGAAGATCCTCTATCGGAAGTTGATGCAGGGAATGAAGAAAATGACGATAGGAATGAATCAGAAACCGGAGAGAATAATGGAAGGGATAGTGGGAATGATACCGAGGATACAGACAGCACCCCCAGAGCGAGACCAAGGGACAACGATATGCGCGACACCGATGTTGCTTCGTCTTCATTTGTCACGGCCAGAGAAGAAGTGTCTAGCTCTGCAAAAACAGGTTATACCGCATATACGGGACTTTCTGTCGACACAAGGGATTCTACAGACACGAGAGAATCATCATCTACCCTGCAGCCTAACAGATTAACGACTGGCCATCGCCCAACGTCGCATGGCTCACAGAACACACACCTGACAAGCCATAATTCTGCCAGCCCCCTGACCCCAAATCTATCTACGGGCCCCAGCGAGGCAGATTCAACGACACATTTGCTGAGAGGCGAATTCCAGGACAAAGGAAAGCAGAAAAGTAAGAATTCTGGTATATCTCGAGCAACTCTTCAACACCACGACCACGGTCCCCAAGATGAAGACAATGGCCAGCAAGGAGAAGGCACAAATGCAGACGTGCCACAGCGGATGTTCACCAGGAGAATGGCAAAACTAAACCTGGATGACAACATCAAGCACAAGCAACAACGTATTCGCTCCCGAATCTCAAAGACACAGGGCACCATCTCAGCCAATCGGCCCCGCCGGCGGAAAGTGCAAGAAGGAGAGATTGTCAAGGCGGAAAAGATGCTGGTCTGCGTCGAGGAGACTATGCAAGGCACACTTCCCCCTGATTACTCCGAGAATGACAGCCTCCGCATGGAAACCCGCACTGTGGACAAATGGAGAGAATTTCTTGTCGTGTGCCGAAAAAGCTCCGCGGAGCATGCGCCATTTGCTCTGCAAATGTATCGCACCCGTGTGATACCTGATGTGCAACGACCGAACAACAAAACGCCGCCTTATTACGAAATACGACTCAGCCACAAAAACACCCATGTTAACCTCTACTCTCCCTTGGATAAAACCATCGTTATTTGGTACCCTTGCAAGCGTGGCACCAAAATCTACATCATCCGGCCAAAATCTGCTGCTCACTCTGCTGAGTGGTACACTTTCATTCGGCAGGTGCTAGGTTGGCGACGTCCAACCTCACTCCCTATCAGCGTTCCTGATTTGGGAGTCTCGCTCATCTTCAAAAATCCTTTCAGCCAGCTAGGGGCCAGTCGGAAAGCAGACGACACTGACCAAGAGCCCCGGGCGTTCGATGAGAGATATGCTGCTGCATGTATCATTAGAGAATGCTTGAACATGCTCGAAGGTCGTCCTGAATGGGCCGAGGTATTGAAGACCTGGTCGAAGACTGAGAAGATGGGTCTTGCTTGGAAACGATATGATCGATTGGAGTGGGTTTTTGGTGTCAACGAAGAAAAGATGTTTGGCACCATTGCCATGCAGTCATCACATGAGCTTGAGCTACGGCCGAGATATCACTACTCCACTGTAGTCAGACAGAATGGCTCAAAGGTGGAGGAGCCTGCACCGATTGAGGGATTCCTTGTCCGCCTCACATCCCAAAAGGGTGTTCATCAAAAGATGAACAGGATGTTCTTCAAGCGGTTGTATTTCTTCACCCAGGATCATTTCTTCTTTTTCTGTCGACCAGCCAAGGCATTCCCACCGACACCCCCAAAGTTTGCCCCATCAGAAGCTCCGACGCAAGATGGAAATGTGCCATCTGCACGTCAAATCCTAGATGAGATGCCGCTATCCTGGGATATCAATCCCTACCCTCTTCAAGACGGTGGTATCGCGTGGCTGTCCAACGGTAACCAAGAGTTCATTCAACGGCACGACGAGGAGGCCTATGCGCAAGTGCAGAGGAATGTCCACAACATCAGTCATGCAGATGGGTACATCGACATGTGTCGGGTGCAAGAAGTTCGCAATATCCAGCGCGGTAGTAGCCCTGCTGATACCAACATTGACCAAGGGCCTTCTGTGGATTACAACCGGGAGGCTAGGGACTCACGGCAAGATGATGGTGCTTCCCAAGAGTTCGACGACGATAGGACCTTCGAAATGGCTTTGGATAATGGCCTTGTCATTCGACTCCAGGCATATGACGTCGCTAGTCGAGATGAATGGGTCAAGCGGCTCGATGCTTTGGTCAAGTACTGGCGTGCGCGCTGCGCAAACGATGCTGCAGAGTTGCAGGCAGTCCGGCGGCGCAATCTCAAGCTTTTGGAAATCGATGAGGCCATGGAGTCGGTTGTTGGGCAGTTCGCGAAGAAGTGGGAAGTGAAGAAAGCCGAGGCATCGCCACAGTTGCACAATATGTGTTTGCTGTCCGGCTGTCGGACCATTAAGGTGAGTTATAACAGAACATGAGGAATGCATCACACAGAATACTAATTATAATAGATGTCCGGACAACTCTATCGCAAGCCCCGTCGCCATACGACTTTCAACCAGTGCCATGTCATTCTCACAGCGGGTAAGCTGCTCATTTTCTCGAGCACGCTGCGCAACCGGAATGGTACCGAAATCCCACACATTCATCAAGAACTCGAAGCAACCATCGAATTGGAGGATTGCTACATCTACTCCGGCTTGCTCACCGAAGATGACTTGTTGTACGCAAATCAGACATTCGACAGCAATAACCCTGGGCTTCATGCTTTGCCACGCGTATATCTCGATTCAGATACCTTCACAAGTCACGACGAAGATACTGCTATCACCTTCGTTGTCTGGCAGCCTTTGAAGAAGAGCTATTTCCGAGCTCAGGAAACGGGAGTGCAGGGTAGAGCGAAACGATCCATTCGACATGTCTCCACGCTAGGCAAGCATGGCCGTACAATTGTGTTCAAAGCGCGTAGTCGTGTCGAGAAAGATCGCTGGGTTATGAGTATCTCTTCGGAGATCGATCGTCTCCAGGAGGAGAGACATGAAGATATACGACTTGTCTCTCCTTGATGGCTTCTTTGACTGCCGGCGTTGCCGCGTTTTCGGTTATCCATGATTCCTATTATATATGTCCTTCGCTATCACTTTTTTGTTTCGGGGGCTTCGTCCCATCCACGCATAGCACAGCACTTATTGCTTATAATAGCAATACCATGATATCCACAGACATACAATATATGTACAAGCTCAAATCCATAGCATGCTCCGCTATGGCTATGAAGAAACCAATCTATACATAATGCAAAAGGCCACACCTCAACCCATCAATTCAAGAAAGGCTGCTCAACCTTAACAGCATTCTTAACAACCCGATCCCGAACACTTTGCCGATGTCTCTCAACCCGACTATTCACATCTCCATCACCACCCTCCTCCCAATCCGACGCCTTCAGCCACCGCATACGCGGCCCCAGAACGGCAAATACCCGCCCAGTAACCAGACTGAGACTGACCGGTCCGTACGTATTACTATCCAGCGTCTTCCGCGGATCCTCTGCATCCCCTTCCAACCACACATGGTTCCACGGCACGATCTGCGTCGCTTTCAGACATGGTTCGCGGGTCGTGACGCGGTCGCCTGGTAGACCGATTATGCGTTTTATGGCGATGTGTGACGGGTTTGCTGGGGATCTATACAGGGGGTAGTATGTTAGTATTGATTCATAACGAGACTAATGTAGTCTAGTCTCAATTGAAGAAAGGAATGCGAGGAAAGGAAGGAAACACTAACCGGAAAGTCACGATTGTCCCTCGTTCAAGCTTCTTCTCCTTCCGAAAGGGTAGCAATCCACCCCACGACCACATATTAACCAATACCATATCGCTCTTCGTTTGCATTTGATCGTAGTCCTCGTTGAGGTAGGGTGTCATTGACGGCCCGCGCACCCACATCACTTGCATGACGTGTTCCGGGAAGAAGAGGCCGATTGGGATGACGGGCGCTAGCCAGCGGAGGGTGCGACATGTTCGGCGAACTGGGGAGGGGAGGCTTGCGAAGCGTTGGCGGAGGTTTGTTAGGAGGCTTGTTTGGAAGAACGGGCGGCGCTTTGGTTTGATGAGGGCTGGGCCTGGGGCTGCAGCTGGGGGCTCTGTCGCTTTTGGAGCCGGGGCTTCTTGGGGTTTTACTCGGAATCGGGGGTTTGGTGTAGGTGCTGTGCGGTTGCGCGGTTGTGGTTTCGTCATTTTTGTCGGAGATGTCGGGGTTGGGTGGTGGTGGTGAGATGGGTGTTAGGTGTTTGCGTTTGGAGCAATGGGATTGGTGGAGTGTTTCAATTGGCGTTCATCATTTTAGTTATGAGTGTCAAAGGGAGGTGCAATTGCAATTAGAGACGAGGCAGTATCGAGGAATATCGAATGATCTCAAATGCGCTGATAGAATGTTTGTATTGTTTGCATAGCGTCTCTCTATATTCTATATGCACAACTTCACAGGCTCCGTGTCATTTTTGCTATTATAGACGTCTGTCTTGATACTTCATCTTTACAATGAGAGAGAGTATGTTGATATTACAATAGTCATCCCTGCTTGGAAGTCGTGGTGGGAACCCATCAGTCCATCAAGCTGAAGCAGCTCACATTTTCTTCAGAGCTACCTAAGTAGTTATCTCTACGGTACACGAGTCTCTGAAATGTTGTTTTGGGGTGTCATTGGGCTGTCGTGAGAGTCATATCGGGGTCATTCATATCACCGTCTCTTCATTTGTATGGCGCAAGTCGTTCAATCGGTGCAGCCGTAGAGACGTACTTCAAGCTGTAGAGACGTACTTCAAGCATCACTATTTTCAGACAAATCCTCAGCGGTAGGAGGGAAGTATTCACTAGAGATATTGTTAACTTTGATCAAGCAGTACACCAAACAGATGAACTCACGGAATCACATCCTCATATGCGTCAACGTCCTTCCGCTCAAAGTTGCAGAAAATCACCCGCTCCAGCTTCCCAATGTTGGAAGGTCCTCCGAGGAACTTGCGCACTTCATCGGTAGCAGCTTCTGCAGCCAGATCGCTGGGATATCCATAGACACCAGTGCTGATAGCAGCGAAAGCAATGCTCTTCAGGTTGTTCTCAACAGCCAACTCCAGACTACGTCGGTAGCAAGAACGAAGCAGAGTCTCGGGACGACGGGGATCAATACGCCTTTCGCGGAAATAGACTGGACCAACTGTGTGGATGACGTGCTTACAGGGTAAGTCATAAGCCTTGGAGATCTTTGCATCGCCAGTATCGCATCCATCCAGTGTGCGACATTCTTCCAAGAGCTCTGGGCCTGCAGCACGGTGAATTGCGCCGTCTACGCCACCACCGCCCAGGAGGGATTCGTTAGCTGCATTGACGATACAGTCGACTTGCAGCTTGGTTATGTCATTGCGGATGATAGAGACGCTGTTGTTGAGGCTTTGCGATGGCTTGAATTGAGAGGTTGTGGGGGCTAGGCGTTGTAGCTTGTACAAGAGCGCCACTGTGGGGATCTCAGCGAGGGATAGAGCTGCCATGACGGTAGAGGACGAAGCGCAGTTGACCATTTGGAGTGAGGAAGCTCAAGTGGAGACCCCAAGCTCACGCACGGACACTACCACGTGATTGTATACATTTGGGGGCAAAAGTGAGTTGGTGCTTTTCCACACTTACTTCTTTGTTTACCTGCATGATGATTGCAATTCTGTGCTCCTTTCGGCCGAAGAATGATGAACGCCGCACATAAGCCGAAGCTGTCAGGTTAGGGAGCTCAGATGCAGATAGACATGAGACATCTACGGCACGGAAGTCTGATCGGTGATGACTCCTCGATAGGTATAGCCAACTTGACAGTCTACGTATCGACTCGAATTAAGTTTAGACTACCAATGTCATATGGACAACGCTCTCGATCCGGCTGCAATGTACTCCATACGGCAAGCTGCATTACATATGCAGGCAGACCAAAAGGCTTCCTATGCCGCTGAGCGCTGTTCGAGGCCCTCAACTCCTGTCATTGGCCATCGATTGACCCAGCCACTCAAAAGTACGACCATCTCTTTCCCGGCCCCAGGCCCAGAGCCAAGCCCGGGATTTGACATCAGCAGGGGCAAGGGCGTGGCTATCAGCGGCGCTTCAGTCTAGAGAGACATTGATTGGAGACCTCGGCAGCACATGATTTTGCCTCTGTAAATCGCATTGAGCCTTTGAGGGTTGTGCGTTGAGCAATGGCAAAAGCAAAAACAAAGCAAAAAGTCAGGTAAAGGCAAAGAGAGCGGCCATGCTATGCATATCGTACGATTCCCCGAGTTACACTCGGCTAGACTCTTCGCCCAGATCATCGGCGCCCATGGCTGAGTTGGGCTTAGGAGAGTTAGGGGTATCTCGAAACTGGCCTTCTATCCTGGGCAAGGCCGTGTATCGGGAGCAAATAACGGGATCACAGGGGATTCGTCCAGCCACAGTGGGTTTGGCCCACTTCTCTCCACACGACCTGTCAAAACCACAGCCGTTTTCACCTTTTTCAGGACATCTGGAGGCCTTTTGATTTGAAGATTGCCGATCCTTCAATTGTTCGCTCGTCGATCGCATCTAGGAGAATCGCTAGTTCGCCCAGTCTCCTTTCCCTTGAAGCCCCCAAATGGCCTCGGATCTTTCTATTGGCGGAGTTTGGCGGAAATGGTCTTGAAACGAGAAATTCTCCTTGGCTCCGCTCCATCGTAGGAATCAGTTCTCTTTTCCGAGTCTATCTGGGAGCCGTTCTCGTGCAGGAGGGAAGAGGAGTAGGTATAGCGCAGGCATTTGACCCAATAATGAGAGACGGAGACGATCTTGTACTATTGGGATTTGCCTGAGCAGTTCCAAAGGAGTTAACAGTACTCTGTACGGGATCCATGTAATACACTATGGAGCATCTGTATGAGTAACAATTTGTAATCAATGTAGACCTCGTACGGAACCTGGCAGCTGTCGCATTCGAGTATCCAATTGCCCGTTAGGCGATATCACCCTGTTGCATGGTAGCTCAGATGTCACAGAACTTTGTTTGAAGCTATGAGACACCTTATTCGTCCTGGCTACAAATAGATATTAATTAGACCCAGACCCCTTGTTAATGCATACGTCAAAAGTCTTGGATGCATGCACAAGCACCTGTCAAACTCCCAAACCGGTTCTGCCTACCTCACCTGTGGCGGTTCAGCTTCTTAACCTTGCCTGGCAAGATCTGTATTTGTTGTGTCCTTGTAAGGTAATAACAGTGTCCAGGGTTGTTCTCGGCTGTCTACACCCGTCAATAGTTGATGCGCACATAGATGTGGGATAAAACCGGAATCGGCCCTAGGGAATTGATAATCCAAGTCAACCTGTCAGTCTGTCAAATTGTATGCGTCTTCTCTTTTGGCATCGGCTTGCTTCCCTTGGCTTGGACATGTCAAGTCTAAACCGAGCAACTACCGTGAAGAATCGAGCATGCATATATGTAGCTATCTGCTGAAATCTTCGCCGGTCCTCACCCCTATCCACACTGTAAAGTCCTAATTTGTTTCAAGTAACACAACAAAAGCAACTAACACGATCGTCACACCATGTCGAATAGAAACCCCACCTTGACCGAGATGCGGCCGACCCGCCGGCTTAAATCGAGATCGGAAGGATTCCGTCGCATGGAATTTGCAACGCATGCATCCTGAAGTTGTGCTTTTTTTTTTTGTGCTGCCTTGGCGTAAGTCTCGACTCTTTCACGCAGTGTAGCAAGCAGGTTCCCAATGTAGATCGTCCTTTTATGAAAAAAAGAAATTAGAAGATTTGACGTATAACGGGGCTGCAGATGATGTACAAGGCTCCATCCGTGTACCCATCTTGATAAAGAAGAGTTTTCGCCTAGGAGACATCCAAGAAGAGCTCTCTCCATCCAATTATCCAATAATAGGAGGGATAGTCATGTTTGCCACGCCTTTCCTTCCTCGGATGTACCGGCTGACTCGAAATTAAGTGGAAATATATGTTTAGTTATGAACGTGTTTGATACTTTCTGCACGACAAATCAATGATCATCCTAATAGTTACTGTACGAACGACAATCCTCGACACGAGCTAACCGATAGCAACATGCATAGCTGTGTTGACCCGTAAAAGGAAAGAAAAAGAGAAAAAAAAAGGCATGCTGGAGCCCGGCACGGAATGATATTCGCAAGCTACGCTGCACAGGCCAAACGGCAGAAGTCTCAGTAATATAGCGAGTCAATAGTACGAAGCACTGACAGAGCTATCTTCGATCCCGTTGCTATAATTAATGAGGCCATTGATATTTTGGAAATATGCAGATAGTTACATCCACCTTGGACTCCACTCGATGGATCTTAATTAGTCCAAGACGACGTTTTCTTCATCGTGGGGCTGGGCATGGGGAAATTCGGTTTCCGCTTGTTAAATCCGTGTCGATCGATGGGGGATGTGCAGAAGCACAAATTTGGGTCTTTCTACACTAACTTGGGCCTGCTGGTTTTTCCCTGGTGAGATGAGCTTTCATGAGCTTATAGGTGGGATTGTGTTGACTCGCGCTGAACTTTTCGGGATTCAATGAGCCCCTTGGCACAGGGAAAGGGGTGTTTCAATGAATAATGCCTACCTGATGGTCTGGGACTTATTCTCCGACGCCCCATATTGATATTCGGAGGTTTTCTTCAAAGAAGATCATGAAGCCACACTGAGACTCCGGGCCGGGATTTGCTGGAATTCCCCTAACGACCTCTTCGGCAGCAAGCGCCAATTTTGCCTAATCTTGCCCGTCAACCGATTCAGGAGGCGCTAGCAGATTCCGAGATACAGTGGAGGAGAGAAATTGAAGTCGATCGAGGCGGTCTGGCGGTGGGTCTGGCAACGGTTGTTGTGGGGAATACATATTATCGTGTGTATCTCATGCTTCATCCATTCTCAGAAATGGGAAGGCTGGTTAGTTGGTCGAGAGTATCCCATGTGCTTGGACTCAGCCAGGAAAGCATAGATTATAGACTCCCATCTTCTCCAATACGGAGTATCAAGCCATAGGGCGTCCACGTGGAACATACCCTTGTTAACGGCACATCGTGAGATGCTAAAGCGGAGCCGTAGTCAATAGTTCCATCCGCTCAAGTTAGCGCAAAACGAAGGAAAACCAGCAAATAACAAAACTCCACGATTAATATCGAAGATCGATGAGATGTTCGGGAGGATGCTCCATACGTTGCAGAAATGGAATCAGGACCCGCTTCACCTGTCCCCTTTTGGCGTTTTACAGCATACCCTAGTAAGGCGGCTTGCAGAGAGTCATTTTCCGAACCCTTGCCTTCCACACTCTTCCTCCAGGATCGGACCCTCGCTTCCCCTCTGCAGCTGTCAACCCTCTGTTGAGACTAGAAATCGGAGAGATTCCCTAGTCTCCACTGGAATTAAACACCCCTGAGCGCCACTGTGCCGAGGGCCAAGGTCTGTTAATTGTGGCCGGAGATTTTACTGTGTAAGGGCGTGAACCGTGCTGTCTGTATTGAGGATGCACGTAAGTGGAGATTTCAGTCTCTTGTCCCGGGGCTATTGATTTGCACAGATGAACGGCCGACTCAATCGCTCCCAACGGGACGGATGCAATATATGCTTGTATAGATTGCCCCTTTTGTGGGTGTTAATTAAAACGCAGTACAGAATGGCGCTAGAACAGAATTTAAAAGTTGACGACCGAGAATTCCCTGGGCGTATCGAAAAGATGGTCGCAAGGCCGATGCGCACTAAAATTGGGATCGGATCTTAATCTCTTTCCAACCTGAGGAAAGGCGTCGTCGCTCACTTTCCTTTGCGGTTAGGATTATCTGATCGGCCTTTTAGTTGGCGTTCAGGTCCCACATCGAGTCTTAGTGACTTCGGGAGGTTGAAACGTCTTTGTCAGAATCGTGTCCTCAGGGGAAACGGTTTTCAACGGTTTGTCGATCAATCCCCGGTTTGTTGTGGTAGCAATTTGCATCCTACTCCAGGAGTAGGAATCGTCTTATCTTGCAATTGGATCAGCGCCCGTCCGACGGGGAGGAGATTGGGGGCTCTTAAAGTGAACGTCCTATTGGTTGCCGATGTGAAGGTCGTGTGCAGATGTGCAGATGTGCAGATGGCATCTTTTCCTTCCCCTCAAAGCCAAGGGGCGCTGCCGACACGTGAATTTCTTCAATGCCGAAGCCACTTTCTTTTCTCTAAATTACAATACAGACCGTATTCGAATGCCTGTGTGTTTTTTCGTTAGTGAACCAAAGCCCGCAAGGCGTCTAGTTGCTGCACTTCCCAGTTGCCGTGATGAGGCAACCACAATAGACTCCAGGAAAAACAGTTATACTCCGATCTGGTATGATCAATCACCAATGACCAGTTACGATTCTGATAGTTCAGATCGAAAGCCTCGGGGATATTCCGGCCTTTCTCCTTGCCCCAGACACCTTTATTTTTTATTTTTTGTAGATATGCATCTTCACCGGTCTTTACGGGTTTCTGATCACCGGAGACTTTCGACTGTTTTTTTTTTTTTTTTTTTTACTTGCCATCTTGCCAT